ATGGGTACTTAAACCTAAGCAGATAAAAATCAAAGTCAATAGATAGATTCCAAAAACAGGAAGGATACCGCTCAGGGAGCTGTTAGCACCTTCAGTGGTTATTAAGTAGGTAGAGTCCCCACCAGCCCATACCAGGATTGAGTCCATTAGCGTGTGAATTGAATTTGTGGATGAACTGGGATTCCAGGGCTTCTCTGTGTATTTGGCTTGTAGAGCTGGTTTGTGACAAGGCAGCTACAGGCAGGAATGTCAGACTGTGGTTAGGCAAGCTGAAATGCTCACCAACAGGCTTCTGTATATTCCATTTACATCCGATTTGTGTCCATTGATTCTTTCCCGCAGAGACCGTCCGGTTTGTCCAATATATATAACAGTGGGGCACTACTGGCATAGATCAAATTACTGGATGTACAGTCAAATGACTCTTTGATTGTGTGGCTTATGTTGTTTGCTCCAGTGATGAATTCACCAGTGTAGATATGTGGGCAGAGTTCGCATCTTTTTTGGTTGCAGGGCTGGGCTTCTAGAGATTTATGATGTGGTTATGTGGCATGGTTATCAGAAAGAATATGTTTCAGGTTAGGGGGTTGTCTGTAAGCAATAATAGGTTTTTCTCCTAAGGACTCTGAGGCTACGTCTACACTGGCATGATTTTCCAAAAATGCTTTTAACGGAAAACTTTTCCGTTAAAAGCATTTTTGGAAAAGCATGTCTAGATTGGCAAGATACTTTTCCGCAAAAGCACTTTTTGCGGAAAAGCGTCTGTGGCCAATCTAGACGCACTTTTCCCCCCAAAAAAACCCCCCACCATTTTCGCGATCGGGGCTTTTTTGCGGAAAACAGTACTGTGCTGCCTACATTGGCCCTTTTGCGCAAAAGTCTTTCGGAAAAAGACTTTTGCCTGAACGGGAGCAGCATAGTATTTCCGGAAAAGCACTGACGATCTTACATGAGATCGTCAGTGCTTTTCCGGAAATTCAAGCGGCCAGTGTAGACAGCTGGCAAGTTTTTCCGCAAAAGCAGATGAACTAGACAATCTATGGGTGGTCCTATTAGTCTGATGTTTCTTGTTCTTCAAAACCTAACATTTAGAAACCACGTAACCATAACTTGTTTGCTGCTCATGAAGCTCATTCAGTTTTCTTTGATAACTAGAATACTGCAATTCTCCTATGTTCTCCAACTGAACTCCTCCTCTACAGAAAACACCCCACTGTAATTTATTTTAGTGGTCCAGCTGTAGAAAGACAACTGGTTAAGATGTAGTGAAAAAATCTTGTACAAGCCATTTTAGTACTTGAGTCTAAAAACAGGCCTAGACAAAGAAGCCTAAAATGTAGTCAAGAATGGCATAGAGCAAGTAGACCTCTGTGTGTATAAAGACTTAACATTGAGTATTAGAATTATGAAGTATTTCATATTTAGATCATTTTGCCAATTTTTATTAGCATCTAGTTTAGAGCTATCATTTGTATTGTAGTAGCACCTAGCAGCTGTAGTCAGGTCAGGATGCTATTGTGTGTTAGGCACTATGTAACCATAAAGGATAACTGCTGTCCCTAAGAGCTAGTAGTCCAAAAACAAGACTCACCACTTATTTCTTGTAGTTACTAGATTAACATTCAAAAGTTGTTTCATGCCTTAAGCCAGGGGTGGGGAATTTAAGCATCAGGGGCCAAATGTGGCCCCCAGCTTGTCTAGATCCAGCCCCCGAGGCTCAGGGCTTCTCCCCAGCACTAGGGAGCCCACACTGGAGCTCTAGTTTCTCCCCCCCCCCCCCCCCCCCCGCTCCTCTCCCGAGGGCTGGAGCACACAATCTACTAGCCTAGGTCCCACTAGGCTCTGAGGTGGGAAGGGAATGTGGTGAATTACTTTCTTCTTCTCAGTCAGGGCCCGCATCTCTGAGGATTTTTTTCCCCCGCTTCTCACTTGTGTGTGGCCCCCAACTGATTTTTCTGTGGGTCAGCAGTCCTCAACCACACAAAGGTTCCCCATCCCTGCCTTAAGCCTTTTACCTCTTGCAGATGAAATAGCTCACACTCAACTATCTCTGCTTCTAAAAACAATTAAAGTTACTTGCATGCCCTTTATATGTATTCTCAAGCCATATTATAGGATAGTTTCTTCCATATCCTTCAGAAGAGAACTTTGAACAACAGACCAAATGCCAATATGTCATTTGTTTACATTTCAGAAAACATAATGGAGAACAGATTAAAAAATAATTGCATTGATGGGTTCTAAATGCCACTCCAACTTGTTACTCCAATACCAGAAATTAATAAAATGAAGTTTAAATGAGCTTCCCTCTCTCACTTGTTTTCTGGAATACTAGAACTGATGCTAGCCTCTATTTACTAGTAATAGTTGTGTGATGAGATGCACAAAGCATTTGTATTCTTTCAAGAAAGAAAGGAAGGAAGGAAACATGCAAGTAAGTAACTAGTTAGTCTTAGCATACTTCACAAGTGCTTACAATCAGTCTTTTTATTTAACCAGAGATTATGATTGCTAGTTTTGTACCTCATGAAGCCAACATAAGTTACATAAGGGTCAGCTGTGTGCCATTTAATAATATTGTATTATGCAACATGAGTAATGTCAACAGTCCACGAACCAAGGATCTTAAGTATTTCACTGCAAGTGTGTTACCTAGTTTCCACATTGATTTGTATCTGTTATAAGAGGCAATCCAATTCAGATTACAAGAACAAATTAGAGGGACTTGTATAAGCACTATAACTTTATTTAAATGTTATTGATTTTATTATATATTACAGGTCTTCAGATTGGGATGAGATTGGCTTTCCCCAATAGAAACATGTGCAGTATTAAAGGGTACAGATTTCCTTAAAGTTCCCAGTGAAGTCACATTCAGAGTCTTCAGAGCAGATGATTTGAATCACTAACCTGGAAAATAAAGAGAAAGGTTTATTAATGAGTTCAGATTTTAGGATGATTACAGCTGAATAAAAGAGAATTACAACAGCCATGACTGTCATGGTGATATGGCAGAAGAGATACTTGCTAATAAATCCATTAGCCATTAACTGATATCTATTTTATAAGACAAACAAGTGTCTAGGATAATGCATTTACTCTACATAGCTAACGGATCTTATTCTGTTTCAAGTTTGTGGGGTTTTTTTAAATCAAACATATAAGAGAGAAGTATTATTTCAAAGGATTATTGTTATACAAGCCCTCCAATAAACAACATAGCCCAAGTTCCTGTACCAAACTCCAAATATAATTTTAGTAAGAACAAGTTTGGAGGAATCTACTGAATGTTTATAGCAGTTTTTAGTGTTCAGCAAAAACTGGTATTTACTAAACAATATCAGACTGCAACATTACTCTTACTGTTGGTAGATGGATAATGACATGGAATAAGTCATTATCTCCGTGGCAACAGAATTATGACTGTCAGAGGAATATTGCACATGGTTCTGCTATTACTCTTACAGGCACGCCTCGGCTTCCTCTAGCAGATGTTCTTTCTGTAAGTCTGGTAAGCCCTGAGTACAAACAACCAAGAGCAGCTCCAAGACCACAGACATCCCAAGCAAAACTCAGAAAATTGTGGGTAAAATTTTCAAGTGTTAGTTAAAACACTTCAAAGCTAAAAAAATCCATAGAATCCAGACATCTAAGTACCCAACCCATTTGTAAAAGCAGAGACTTAATTACCTAAATCACTTCAGTGACGTTAAAATTACACCCTAAGATTTAGGTTTTAAGACTCACTGACAGGCAACCGAGGCTAGTGAGCAGACCACATGAATGGCCCTCCATCTCAGTGAGCTACTACTAGACTGTCGTAATCAAGACACTCTCCAGTGATAGGGTAAGTTTGCTAAAGTCCCTTGGTTATGTAGAATATGCGGGCGGTGCTAAATGAACTATGGCAGTGCTATGATTGGACACAGAAGGAACACAGAGCTCTCACAACGTTGTATGCAATCAACAGGCATCCCACTTCACACGTGCCTTGTTTCAGGTGTCACTTTAATGCAGGTAGGGGAAAAAAATGACATGGACAGAAACCAGCAGAATCTGGTAGCCTTACATGTGGCCAACAGTAAACAAAATGTCTCAGGGTCCACACGTAGAACCCGGATGGTCTGCAGATTGCCTACCCCGGTTTCAACAGCTACAGGCACCATGTGTCCCTTTACCAGGCACGAACAAGGCTACCAGCCCTCCCACCACCGAGCCGCGAATGACACCCTCTGCTGCGGGAGTCCTGCCCACGCAGGTGATGGCTAGATTTGACAGCGACACGCGGGAGCTGGTTAGAAGCTGTTCCAGTCCCGCTTTGCTGCTTCTCGCTCCGCAGCGGGGGACGGAGCAGCCTCTCCGCAGGGCCGCTACTGCCGGGCTGCCTCGGGCGCAGGCAGAGGGGCGCTGTGAGCGAGCCTGAGGGAACAGCCCCAGCCGGCCTTCGGGGAGCCGCACGGCTGGGAGACAGTGACCGACCCGCTGGGACTCGGCCAGCAACCGCGGCCCGCCCACGCCTGCTCGCTACAGCCCCGGGGCGAACCGACCCCCGGGCCGAGCAGGGCGCGGCAGCTCCCAGCAAGACCCGCTGTGCGCCCGCAACGCTCCACGGCGCAACGCGGGAATCCCGCGCTCGCCCCAACCGATCCGCGCGGCTCTAACCTCCGAGACGCCCCCAGCGCCCTACAGCTCACCCAGCCCCAACTCACCGGAAGCGGAAAAAGCCACAAAGAGACCCTCTCTAGCCCCCTACTAGCTCAGCCAATAGCAATGCAGAAGAGGCGGAGTCACAATGCAGTGGCCGGGCCCATCCGTCTGTGCGGGCATATTATTGGTTTGCTCGGACGCATGACAGCTCTTTCAATCCACACACGGTCTGCCGTGTGATCCGAGGCTCTGCCAATAAAGAGGAAGGCCCTTGAACCGGTGGGCGGGACAGACAAGGTCTCTAATGCACTCTACTGGTACGGATGTGGATTGACAAGCATTTCTAGCCATCTGTGGGCGAAGCTACCCGTGACGTTTGTCCGCTCTACCCAATGGGAAGGAGGAACGGATTGGAAGGCGGGCCGGCGCGCTCTGTCTCTTGGTGTGAGCGGCAGCCGCTAGGCAAGGGCGGCGATGAGCGGTTCTTTGTGCTGGCTGCGCGCGGCCTCGCTGTTGCGTAGCGCCCCGCTGCGTTGGGGCGTGCGCCCCTTCAGCCAGGCCGCGGCCGGGGCCGGCTCCTCCCCTGGCGGGGGCGGCGAGGGAGACCGGGGGTCGCGGGAGTCGGTGGAGCGCCTGGTGCGGGCGCACCCCGTGGTCGTGTTCATGAAGGGCAACCCGGCCCAGCCCCTGTGCGGCTTCAGCAACGCCGTGGTGCAGATCCTGCGCCTCCACGGGGTGCAGGACTACCAGGCCTACGACGTGCTGCAGGACCCCGACCTCCGGCAAGGTTAGCGCCCGGGTGGGGAAAGACCCTTCCCCTAGGAGGCTGCGGGGAGGCAGAGCCCCCTCCCCCGGCCATACGCTGGAGGGGACTCAATGGGGGGAGGCAGGTACGGTCCATGTACACACCCCGAAGGGGTTTGTTTTTCTCGCCGAGCCTCAGCAGCTCTGAGCCATCAGGCCCGAAGTGCTTGTTGCGAGTAAGAAAGTCACAAGAGGCTGAGATCCTGGGCCAGCCTCCCTCCGTGTCACATTCCTTAGTGGCCCCGGCTGTAGCCCATCTGGGGAGTCGCTCAAACTGTCACTTGTAGCGGAAGTATCATCTTGGGACTGGGAGTCAGGGACCTGGATTCTGTCCGTGAGTCTGCTACGGATAGGTGGTCTTGTGCTGGGATTATCTGAAGGGCCCAAAGAGGTTTTGTGACCAGAACCTAATGACTTCTAAGATCCCCTGAACTCTATGGCGCTGACATTTTTGTAAAACAGAAATAAAATGTATCTGCATACTTAACTCAGACAATGTCATTTTAATCTTTCTAAATCACGTCTACCTTGTCAAATAGAATGTACCCACTGTATAGCTATTGGCTAAACTGTACACTGCATATTGTTGGAAAACGTCATCCTGGCATGACTTTATCATATACTAGTGATCTTGGTTCACCATATTTCCAGTTGGGATAATCCCAGAGAGTCACAGCTGTGTTCACTGATTAAAAGGTGAGGCCCACACAGAGATGATAAGCTTTGGCATGATTCTTTATCTTGGTCGGAGCAGCCTAGTGATTTGGCTTGTTTGCTTGCAGATTGCCTCCTTTATCTTTTTTTTCTGAAAGAAAGATCCTCGATGAGACCTGTGCTCGTTGTTACAGATAATGGTGGAAGTACTATATATTAAGGGAAAATGGAGAGTATAAACAAATTCTGCCTTATTTTACACATTTAAATGTTTTTAATTATGGACTTTTTAAAATAACTAGAATACTTAAAACATGGTGTATGCCAGTAGCAATGGAGTACAGGAATATTTTGTGACTCAGCTATAAAAATCCTGACTGTTTCAGGTAGAACAGTAATTAGTCAAAATCATCACCTGAAGAAGTAGGTGTCATCTTGCTAGAACACTGCTAATCATATACGTGAGTGGAGCAACAGTAAGTGATGAAAGAACAATGTTGGCTCATGCAAGATAGACAAGGCTTATATTATCTTCACTTGTTTGAGCTCAGGTCTTAATTTGAGTTGTTACATTATATGCTCTGTTCTTTTCATGGCATCTATTTGCAGTCCTCCAAGCTCTTAGAAACTTCCAGTGTGGCCTCTTACTTTGGTGAAATTTCAGTCGGAGGTGGCACAATTCAGAAGTTATGATTGATGGCATCTCATTTTGGTTCTACACTCTTTAAGATCAGGAGAGCTGCAAAACAACGGTCAGGCTATAAACAGCTATTGACATTTCATCCCAGTAGTTTTGGAAGATATTTTGTTTAGGGATAATTCTATTTTAGCTTGTATTATACTCCCCATCACTTATAGATGATGATGATTATGAAGAATGGTAGGTATTTATATAGCTAACAGAGATGGATGATAATACTTTGTCCTGCCTTGAATGCAGGGAACTGAACTAGAAGTCCTCTCAAGGTCTCTTATAGTCCCTAAAATTCCACGATAAAGCTGGAAAAAAATCAGCCTAAATTTTCATGCCTCAGCATTTAAAACATTCACCAACCAACAGACATTGCCCCTAAAGCTACGTTAGTCTGTAAGTATATTTTATGAGAATTCTTGCACCTTCTATTGGAGCAATTGGTATTGGCTGCTCTGAGAGAGAATACCAAACCTGAAGATGTTTTA